TTCAACCAGCTCTTCTAGCATCTCTTGTAAGCTCTGTGGGTCATCAGAAATTAGAACTAAATCGTCTGCAAATCTTAGGTGGTTTAATTTTATTCCGCTTACATTTATTCCGTAATTTTCCCACTCGATAATAATCCATTACGAATGTTTAAATGTCAATTAATCGTAGTAACATCATAAATGCGACAGTTTAGATGGATGGATGTATGTTATAAGTTGTAGCCTAAACTGCCTAATTTCGATGAAATTTGACTAAGACGTACTTCGATTTTTTCTAATACGAAGACGAAGCCATGGACGATAGCTAGTTGTTAATAAAAACTTTATAGTAACAAATTGTATTAACAAAACAATTTATAAGACGACTAGGATTACAAATTATTTGAATTTATAGTAATCCTAATCGAGATAATAATTTTAATTAAGACTACAAAGTAAGGTTACTTTCATTGATGAATCCATTCCATAAATTGCTCTATCGTATTTGTTAGTACATTTCTTTTATTTATTATTCAAGGTAACGAATCATAAATCTTAACCTCATAGCATAAATTTACATACGATATAGTGCTCTATAAATATTTCATGTTTTATTCAAACACTTTTGGCTGCTCTTAAACAAGTTCTCTGCTTTTTTTTCTTTTTTTATCTATTTATGAAAAATTTAAAGACTGTCTTTGACAGTTTTATATTCTTTGGATAGTCTAACTACTATCTTACTAATATTATAAATGCGAAAGTTTGGATGGATGGATGGATGTTTGTTAGAGTTTGTAGCCTTAACTGCTGAACGGATTTGGATGAAATTTAGCATAGATGTAGAGGATAGTCTGGAAGAACACATAGGCTACTTTCTTTTGTTTTTATTAATACCACGCGGACGGAATCGGGCGGAAGGTAGTAAGACATAAAAGAGCATAATTGTTAAGTATATTTTGATTTTTAATTTTCAAAAACAATAAATACAATGTTTTTGAATTAATTCAAGTGGTAACTTAAGTTGTAGGTTTTCTAAATTTCCTTTTATTGAATAAAATACTGCGTTGAAACAAGAAGTATAGAAATAAAAAAATAAGTAAAAAGATAAACGCTCGAAGCGATTTCCTTATAAGTAAATGATAGTTTGATTTAACAAGTTCCCTTCATTGAAACCTTTGGCCTTCAGAACTGGGCCACCAAAAGGCCCTTCTGCGGCGTTACCTAATTACTTCAATACAATTTGCCTTATTCGCAAAACTATTTGGAACGCTTTCATTTCGGTTTAGACTCCAGACTCTTACAATTCTAACCTTAAATGTTAAGATGAAAACGAGATTAGTTCTTTAAAAATATACTATTAAAATAAAGTAAAAAAGAAAGATAGATACTACAATATTATTATTTTTTATGTATGTTTGGAGTTTGTAGCCTAAACTGCAGAATAGATTTTGGATGTCGACATCTATGTCAAATTTCCTATCCTCTAGTGTTATTCCAGACTTACCTGTAGGTACCTGTAGTCTAGAATAATTTTTATACTTGCTTTTGGTTTTTTTAATTCCTCGCAGACGGAGTAGCGGGTGAAAGGTATGTATTACAAGTGTCACCATATTCGAGTTCGACGGTAAAAATAAAACAATTTTCATCGTTACCTATATTTTATTAAAGCGAAACCGGGGAGTCTAGCTAAGCTTACATAAA